CAGCTGTGTGCCCTGCGTCGTGTGTCACTGGCCGCTGTCATACCCACACGCCTGAGGGACCAGGCGTACGAGGTGTGGGCCACCCTCTCCTCCACCGAGCAGCGGGATGCTGCAATCGTCCGCCAAAAACTGCATCGTGCATTTGCATTGGGACCCGACGCGGCTATGTATGAGCTGTATCACCGACGTCTACAACCGGGCGAGTCTGTGGATGCCTACCTGGGATCAGTCAAGCGGCTGATATCCCTCATAGGTTCAGTGTCCAACGAAGTGATGACGACGCACTTCCTGCAAGGTCTGCCGCCGGAGGTGCGGCTAACAATACGTAACAGTGCTGGAGATGAAACTCTCTCCTTGGAGCGAGCCGTCGCCGTCGCTAGGTCAACGTTGGCGATGGCGGCCAGGGAGAGAGCGACTGCATCGGTGGCTGTCGTCCAGCCGCCGCCATCATATGTACAGCAGCAGCGGGGAGCCAGAGGGACGGGTCGCCGTCCACCACTGCGGTGTTGGACCTGTAACCAGGTAGGCCACATCGCCCGGCTCTGCCCAAACGGGCACGGCGACGGCGCTACATCAGCGCCACGGGCTCCGCCGTCGCCAGCTGCCGCAGTGACCCAAGAGCCCCCATCATCGACATCAATGTAAATGGGCGCAAGTGCCGAGCACTCGTCGACACAGGGTGCAGCGAGACAGTGGTGTGGAAGGGCATGGTGTCCTGCTGGGAGCGGAGTGACGCCAGCTTGGTCGCTGTCAACGACAGCCCGGTGCTGTGCTGTGGGCGGGCTGTGGTCAGCCTTGGAGTGCGCGGGGCGACAGTGAGTGTGCGGGCGGTCGTCGTACCGGCCCGGTTGCTGGGCGTAGACGTGTTGCTGGGCATGACCGGCATTGACGCCCTGCAGGGCGTGAGTGTAAGTGGAGGATCCGTTCGCTTCGGGAGCGACAACCCAGTTGCGAGCGTCGACACGGCTGCTGTGGTGCAGCGTGAGGCCCCGCCGGAGCGGGAGGTGTGTCGAGCGGTCGACACGGCTGCTGTGGTGCAGCGTGAGGCCCCGCCGGAGCGGGAGGTGTGTCGAGCGGTTGACACGGCTGCTGTGGTGCAGCGTGAGGTCCCGCCGGAGCGGGAGGTGTGTCGAGCGGTCGACACGGCTACTGTGGTGCAGCGTGAGGCCCCGCCGGAGCGGGAGGTGTGTCGTGCGGTCGACACGGCTGCTGTGGTGCAGCGTGAGGTCCCGCCGGAGCGGGAGGTGTGTCGAGCGGTCGACACGGAGCCAGAGCTAAGGATTGACGAGACTGACTTCACGGCTGTGTTCGATGATGTGTGGACAGTCCGTTGGAAATGGGCCGGTGGCGTGGCTCCGCCCCCGCTTGGAAACTCGATAGCTCAGTACGGTGTGCCGAGTTGTGCGCGTGAAAAATTCGATGCAGAGCTGGCGCTGTGGATTAGTGAGGGCTGGCTGCGCGAATACGATGAGACGATGTACGGTCCCGCACAGGGATTGATCCCGTTGATGGTGGTTACTCAGGCAGCGAAGGACAAGGTGCGGCCGGTGTTAGATTATCGGGAACTCAATCAACACCTGACACGTCACACAGCCGACGCTGACGTCTGCGTGGAAGAGCTGCGAAGGTGGCGACGTCACGGACGCCGGGTCGCTGTCCTGGATCTGAAGAAAGCTTTTCTTCAGCTTCGTGTGGACCCGGCCCTGTGGCCGTACCAGACAGTCATCGTGCAAGGGCGGCGGTACTGCCTGACCAGGGTCGGCTTTGGGCTCAGTATCGCGCCTCTGATCATGAAGGCTGTGGTCAGGAAGGTGCTCGCACAGAGCCCCGGGTTGGCAGAGGCAGTGCTGCCTTACGCCGATGATCTGCTGGTCAACGAAGCGGTGGTCTCGGCTGATGAGGTTGCCGAGCACTTCGCTCGATTCGGGCTCACATGCAAGCCGCCGGAGCGGGTCGCGACCGGTGCACGTATGCTGGGCCTTCGTGTCGCCGAGAGCGACGGGCCGGCACTCCAGTGGAGTAGGGACGGGGAGTCACCAACGCAGGCTCCACCCGTGCTAACGCGGCGATCTGTCTTCGCGTGGGCCGGCCAGCTGACATCTCATGTGCCGGTCGCAGGCTGGCTGCGGCCGGCCGCTGCATGGATGAAGCGGACTGCCAACCGCCTCAGCCCGGACTGGGACACTCCGATCGTCAGCGAGGAACTACAACGTGAGGTGGATGAGGTGTCACGGCGGTTTCGAGCATGTGACCCGGCACGCGGCCAGTGGTGTGTGACAGGGACGAGCGTCGTGGTGTGGACCGACGCCAGCTCCATCGCCCGCGGTGTCGTGCTCACTGACCCTGACACGGGCGCCATCATCGAGGACGCGTCCTGGCTGCGTGCCGAATCGGAGAGGGACGTGCACATCAATATCTCAGAACTGGATGCCGCTCTCAACGGTGTCAACCTGGCGGTAGCATGGGGCTTCCGTCGCCTGACGCTCCGGACAGACTCGGTGACGGTGCACCGCTGGCTGAGTGACGCGCTGTCGGGTAAGGCAAGGCTGCGAACCAAGGCGCAGTCCGAAATGCTTATCCGACGGCGCGTGGCTGTTTTCCGTCAGCTCGTCATCGAGTACGAACTGGAGGTCACTATCGAGCTGGTCGCGTCAGCGGTCAACCGTGCTGATGAGGTGACGCGGGTGCCCAACGCCTGGCTGCAGACTGCCGACCAGCCAACCACTGATTCGTCTAAAGCACAACCGGTGGCTGTCGCTGCCATCACAAGTGCCTCAGCGAGTGACATCCGCACCATCCACGAAAACATCGGTCACCAAGGAGTGAGGAGAACGTTGTGGTACGCCCGACGTGAGCTGGGGGTGAGGCGGGTGTCAAAACCAGCTGTGCGAGACGTGGTCAGACGATGCCAGACGTGTGCCTCGATTGACCCGGCGCCGGAGCGCTGGCCCGGTGGGTCACTCGGAACAGAACGCACGTGGGATCGCCTGGCCATGGATGTCACCCACGTGCACGGCCACCCATACCTGACGCTGGTGGACTGCGGGCCGTCGAGGTACGCCATATGGCGACGGCTTCGCCGGGCAGGAGCTCTGGAGATTGTGAGTGAGCTGGAGAACGTGTTTCTAGAGCGTGGAGCCCCGGCGGAAATACTCACGGACAATGCGACAGAGTTCCGTGGCCGGGTCATGTTAGCGTTCGCGGCTCGCTGGGACGTATCCATCCGGTTCCGCGCTGCCTACGAGCCCGGCGGGAACGGCATCGTCGAGCGCCATCATCGTACCATCAAAGTGATGGTGGCCCGGCAGTCCTGCTCCGTTGCTGAAGCAGTCCATCGATACAACGTTACACCGAAGGATGGCAGTGACCCGGCCACAGCTCCAATCAACGGGGTGCTTCGACACCCTGGCCGAGACGTTGACGTGACGCCCCGCAGAACCTCAGACGAGCCTGGTGACGCCCTGCCGCTGAAGAAACCCGGTGTATACCAGGTAGGGGACAAGGTGTGGGTTCGGCGGCGGGGCGACCGATGTTTTGTAAAGTCAGACGAGGGTATTGTGACAGGCGTCGTTTCGGCCCAGACAATCGAAGTCGATAATGTCCCACGACATGTGCGAAACCTCCGACATCGGTTGACCGTCCCTGAATGTCCGAGGCCAGGGGCTCTGCGAGCGCCAACGGTGGAGTGGTCTGATGACAGCGAGTGTGATGGCGTGTGTGTGTCGCCAGCTCCGAGTGATGTGACGGAGTCGGACACGCGGCCGCCCAGCGTCGCTCAGTCCCCGGACCCCGATCCACCGACCGGGTCCGATGTGTCCGCAGACGAGAGTGAAACGTTCGTGCCTGCGACGCTGCGGCGTGGTACGCGTGTTCGAAGAGAGCCGGAAAGATATGGCGATGGTGTGCCAGAGGATGTAGTTGATGCGTTGATTGAATGACATGTAACATGTAGAGTAATGTGGTTCTTCAGAACCAGGGGGTGATGTAGCGTGACGCAAGGATGAATGTGAGCCGTATAAGTGTGAGTCAGCTTCAGCGTCGAGCTGTGAACCGGTGACCCAGCGTTGGTCATAGCCGCCGGCATCTGATGCCGGCAGGGCCGAGTTACACCCTGCAAGTAGCTGGGCCGGGCATGACGTATGGGAGCATGATTGGCTGGTTATGATGTGAGATATATGACGTATGACAGCGCGATTGGTTGGTGATGATGTGAGATGTGTGTCTGCGAGCTGTGGATGTGCCAGGAGGGGGATTGTGAGTTAGTTGGCTGGAAGGTGTAGAGGAGAGCAGAATAGATCTTCTTCTTGTGCTGGACGGTGACTTTTAAGTCAGTATGACACCAAGTCTATTGCTCAGGCATTTAAATATATTTTGAAATGCTTTTGATTTATATATTTCTTTCCCATCACGCCTTCCATCTCGCCGCAAATAGTACGCAAATACCAGTAACTTCGCCGAGTTGCGCGAGACATCCGACCTCGCCGGCAACGAGGCAACCGACCGCCTCACTAACCGAGACGCCTCCCGGACCAACCAGGGACCATGGCAACCATGCCAGAGAACCGCCAGAAACAGTGTCCATATGGCAACAGAGCACAGAGCTGGGCTCTAATTGTCAGTGTCTCAGGCTATGGAGTAGTTTCGGGACATGCTAGGGAATTAACTGTCAAAGCCAGGCTCTTTGTTTGCTACATCCCAAGCGGTGTCCTCGGCTTCAGTTTGGTATTGCAGGGTGGATGAAAGCGGCTGTTTTGAGAAATTCTAAACTCGGGAATGTTAACCTTGTTGTTTGACTTCGCAGGATTGTTCACGCTATTTTAGGTTGATCGTGCGTGATTTGTATTTCGACGGATGAGCTCCTTCGGATCATGAAATCATCATGTAACACAACAGAAGGACACGCAACAAACAAGAGCATCAAGCCAGAGGTTCGGCAATTGCCAAGTCCTCATAATACATTATCGAAGAACGTGGTCCACTAGTCATTTACGCGTGTTCGCTCAGTGCAGCGTTATTTGACACATGAAGTTGAAGTGACTCCCCGGATGGCAGCACAGGCCGTCGTGCCATTGGCCCACCCCGGCGGGGTAGCCACTCTTCGGGCCGCGCATGATGATACAGTCCTCGCCGACGTTGCTGCTGGCCGGGCCTGGCGCCCAGTTGTCGAACTCGTACGGCGTGCCGTCCACCCAGCCCCAGTCGACTCCGCCCTGTCGCAGCCGGACCCCGCCGGCCCACACCTCGGCCGTGCCGCTGGCGGCCACCAGTTCCTCCACCTCCCGGTGATTGTCCGCGTGCACCGAGACGAGCCGCGCCCTGCGGTCCATGGCCGGACACAGCGTGCTGGCGCCCATCCAGGTGGCCGTCACGGCCGGGAGCAGGTAGCACCTGCTGCCGCGGCGACTCCAGCCGGACGGACACGCGGCGTCCGCGGACTCTGCCGCCGCCAGACGGTCATGCAGGGCGACGAGCTGGCTCTGGAGACGCTCTACGCCACTTCTGATGGCTCGCTGCTCGGCGGAATAGCTAGGGTCGCTCCGGGCGTCGGCCGTCATGTTACGGACTATGTCGCCGAGACTGAGATCCCCGTAACTGAGAGCTGGTGAGAGCGCCAGTAGAACGACGCTGAACAAAACTGTCTGAGGCGGCATGGCGCACCAAAGTCAGAACAGAAATCCGCACTCAAGAAGACAACGGTCCTGGATGGCCAGTGAACGACAAAAGGGTCCTTTATACGGCTACTCTAATAACGAATCAGACTTTGGACCGCTCGGTTACCAACAAACCAGCTCGCGGTTTTGCCGGGTCCAAGGACTCCCTCGCCTGGTGATGTTAGATTGGAAACCAGCTCCATGGGTGTGGCTTATAAACTATATTTCCCAGATGTTCAGTAAGATAATCCTAATTTGTGTACAACTTCCTCCGACTTGCAGGGCAGCCTGTGAGTGTTTGCATATCGTATGTATAGTAGGTATGCTATTGCCTGCTAAAACGACAAAAGAAACGGAGGTTGACAGGTGTGGTTCTTTTTGGATGTTATTCAGCATAGTCAAGAACACGTCACCGTCACTATCCACTGGTCATCACATAAGTTTATTCCCTCCATGTCAGTTTCTCTCTCTCTCTCTCTCTCTCTCTCTCTCTCTCTCTCTCTCTCTCTCTCTCTCTCTCTCTCTCTCTCTCTCTCTCTCTCTCTCTCTTTCTCTCTCTCTCTCTCTCTCTCTCTCTCTCTCTCTTTCTCTCTCTCTCTCTCTCTCTCTCTCTCTCTCTCTCTCTCTCTCTCTCTCTCTCTCTCTCTCTCTCTCTCTCTCTCTCTCTCCTGATATAGGATATGTTTTGAAAACATGGTTTTGTTGTATAAAAAATGCCCAATGATGTCGATTTCTTTACCCAGAGCACGCGAGTGCCCTTTTTCCAAGGACGGCGGCCACCCAAACGTACGCTTGTGCTTGTCTGACATCGATAAACACTGAAACCAAAGCCATTTGTAATAGCATCCGTGGCCTGTGTCTATTTTGCTTACATTGGAATAGATAGGCGCTGACGTCAACGCGGGATTCTGGACACGAGTAGTGCTGTGGTTAATGTCGGGCTTTGGAGGCCGTATCTGGGTATCAACAGATACGAAGCTTCTTTTTGTTTCTTAATTTAGTATTGTTTCTTAAGCACATTCTCTAGACCAAGAAGTGTGTGTTTATTAGGCTTGTCAATGAATGCCTACCTTTTAACCACTGGCGGATCCAGAAAGGCGGTCTTGGACGCTGCGGGGGTGGGCATACCCCCAAAAAGTTTATCCTAATCCCAAAATTTCATCGGATTTCAATTCTTTGCGCACCGTTGTGCAGTTAAAAGCAAACTCTTCCTCATAAAAGTTGTTTGGTTTTCGTTTTATCCTCGAAAAAATCCGCAAATTCTCGTCGATTTCGGGCTCTGCGGGGGAGGGGACATAAATGTGGACAAAAATCTCTGGTTGGCGTTTGGTATGCTTTGGAACTTTGATCTTTTTTGTTTCGCAGAAAAAAAATCACTAAAGCAAATTGCGAATTGTAAAGATTGATTGTGAATTGTCTGAGTAAAATAGAATGAACTTACCAGAGTAGACACTCAGGGTTGATACTATTGATGTGAACACGAGAATGAAAAATTTATGCAGCATCGGCATTCGGCATTATTATATTCCTTGGAATATCTCGGCGGAAGAGTGCAGGGTCTAATGCTTCTCTTACAGGACACCTTTTGAAGGAAGGTTGAGCAATGATCTTCCAAGTGGACATTGGACAGTGCCTGATTACACTGATTGCTTAGTAGGTAGACCATGAAATTTGTATGTACGTACCTGGAGCTATCAAAATGTTAGCCCAAATTTCATGGACATCTATAAACAACAAGGTTGCTCAATAGCGGGTTGCCAAGGGGTTTTCGCTCAACATTCCACTCCAGTTGCGGCATCCGGCCCTCCAGTGCTGTCCAGTGTTCATTTTTCACAGAACTGCTGGCGGCCGCTGTACGGCAGACCACCCCACAACGCTGACAACTGGCGGCTGCCAGAGTATGTTTTCGTTACCCGGCAACGTGGCCAGCAACTGGCTGGGTATTTCCGCTGGAAATATCCACTGGGTAACTCCCTCACTGGCACGTCTGGTCGGGGATAGCCGCTGGCAGGTCCTAGAATAGTCACACGCCGCTTGTGTCGAACGAAGGATTTTCCATGCTGTGCTTGCTCACTGCACTGTGGCGTATTTGGCTGGAAACTCTGGGCTGTCGGGAATTCCGTTGGAGTACATTTCTGCAACCATGGCGATGAAATATACAAATCGGCATGCAGTATAGACCATTGCACTTAATAATGCAGGCGTTCTCGTCGCTTGTAAGAACATGTTCCATATCACCAAAATAACTGTAGCTTCAAAAACGGCCTTGAATGTTAACCGTATCGTTTATAGTGGGGTAAATGTAGAAAACGTGCTGATTTTGTTTGATGTTGCAGATTTGTAATAGAGTAAAGCACAGTTCTCATCGCTATGCTTTCATAACACGAAATGTAGACACCGCGTAGCAATGGAGCGTCGTTGACACTCCGGACTTCCTCTCGTCTTTCCATAACATTCGGAATAACAGGAGTATATCTTATTTGTCTATATTTGTTCGCTCAGTGTTTGCCACCACCTAGATAAGTTCTAGTATAAACACCCAGATAAACCTCAGTATCTCAGGAGCATTCTCAGTGGCGTCGAACTCTGACCAGAACAACTTGCTCATTCCGCTTTTCGACGGCGACCAAAACAAACTAGTAGTTTCGAGTGGTATATTGGTACTATGACCGGCATTCCTCGGCGATATGGGAGGCGCCAGTGACGGTGGGCGGCGAGCGATGACCACGTCTGTGTTTACCTTCTTCAGCGCCCCTCCTCTCCGCCCCCGCCCCTCCGAGACAGGCATAACATTCCCAGCGCCCCGCCCCCACCCCGGGCCCCGCCCCGTCCCGTGTCCGTCGACCGACGGTCGCGTACCCAGCGGGCCGCGCCCGGCGCCGGGTCACGAGAGCCAACTTCATGGCCAAGAAAATCGATACGGCCTGGCGTCGGGCCGACGTCCCCCCACCCCACCCGGTGCCTCCCCCCGGCACGTCGAAGACGACCCGCATGATGCAACGACTTGGGGCTGGCCGCACCACGAGCGTTTGTCCGCGTACCCGCTGCCAGGCGGAGCTGTTGAGGCGCTCCGTCAAACACAGACCAGTCGCTAAGCGTGTCAAATGTACTTACATACCAGACCAGCGCGAAATCTGATGAAACAGGCTCGGAACTTATTTGGTGCTGGCTTCGGTGGGAAGGAAAGAAGAGTTAATTGTAAATGCAGAGCGTAGAGGCTGTTAAGATATCCCTACGCAGAGCATAGAGGCTGTTAAGATATTTCTACAGTCTACTGTTACTAAACAACGTCGCCGAGTGTAATTTTAATGACTAATGCTCCTTTAAATATGCAAAAAAGTGATCACAGGATCAGCGGCATTGTCTTGATATGTGGGAAGCTGCACCGTAGGTCTCGGTGAACCGAACTGAGGGTACGTACTACGTATTTACATCGCAAGCCTGTCTAAATGCTTTATCTCATTTAGGACTTACCGTCTGGAGCCTGGTTTCCTCAATCCTCATTACTGTCCTGTCCGGGCTTTCTTATCAACAGCAGAACAGATTGGCGTGAAGCAAATGCAGTTTCCAGAAAGGGAGCCGAGAACTAATGGGCATCTTAAAATTGATTACCGTCACTTCAGTCTTCATCGGCACCGCTCAATCTTGCGATGCCGTTTCGCATTTCAAAATTGTAATTCCTAAGCGAATGATTATCACTTTGCTTCTGAAATGGCTTCGCTTTGGAGCCTCATTGTGGTGTTTATGGGAGAAAAAATGGTGCTTTATGTCGATGTTTCAGTATTATGATGGTAGAAAATGACCTTATGCTCCTTATGACCTTATGCTCAAAATGACCTAGCCATAGCTCACCTCCATCGATGTTTCAGAATAAAAGAAAAGAAACTCATCGAATGCATTAGCATATATTATGCATAATTATTGCACACTTTAAACATGTAACACGATCTTATGACAGATGGGTAACACCCTCACAATACCTCGCAAGGATTTGACACACAAATATTGTGGTCACTTATTTTAACTGAGCATTGTACTCGGTCACATAGCACATCATCGGGTATGACAACTTGAACCCGTTTGAAACACACTACCAGCTACAGTCCGTTCGGTACACAGAACTTCTACTCTATGTAATCAAAACATGTTTATTAACACAAAGGTGACATAGATATCCCGCTTGGAACCGCTTTCAACTTAACCTACATGTTTCACAGCCTTCACGATTTGAGCCTGACCTGACTCTGCCCTCAAGTCATCGTATAGTTACCACAAGGTCTCCCACAAGTCCACCCACCCGCAGCCCCGCCGGCGAGGTCCTCTCAGCTGCGCCGCGCGCCGTCCTTCTCTCCGCGGTGTACCACGCGCATCAGCTTGTCCACCACCTTGGTGTGGAAGTTGTGCTTCTCGGCGGGCCGTGCGGCGCCTTTCTGCGAGCTCGGCGGGCTCGGCGGCCCGAAGGTGACGCTGCGCTGGCCCGGATGGCTGGCCTTCCTGCCGGAGGTTCCCGGCGCGCCGCGGCTGTCGCTGTACTGCAGGCTGAAGCCGGGTGCCGTGGAGGCGCTGGCGCTGCTCGAGGCGGATGTCTGCCGGCTGAGGCCACTGGCGTGCGACGGGCGCCGGCTCTGGGGTGCGCTGCGGGTCTGCGGCTGCTGCGAGCCCCGCCGGCTGCCCTTGGCCGAGCCGGGGCCGTACAGGTTCCAGTCGTTCTGCAGCACGGGTACCATGAACGCCATGGCGAGTCGGTATGTGACCGGCACCGGTATCGGTTATCGATGGGCGCAGGCGCGAGCCGGCGACTGGGGGGCCGAAGCTTCCAACAACAAGAAGAGCAACAAGAAGAGCCAAGTCTTCTGTCCGTGCGACTTCTGAGACTCAGTCAGACGAGGCAGCTTGCTCGAAGACAAGTTCTCAAGCGATGAAGAAGCACGTGCGTGCCAGCGTGGTGGTCAGTTTCTGATCCCTCCGCCTCACGAGCTCAACGATTTCTGGCGAGCGGC